GCCAATCAGAGTGATTTATTTTGCAGACAGCCTTTGGCCGACTGCGGCGGGTTTTCGGCCGACGGGCAAAATCGGCTTGGTGTTTCCGGTCCTTTTTATAGAATGAAATCTGGGGGTTGGAGTTTAGATTTTCCGACTTTCAATTTTAAGGACCACCCTAATCCACAGTTGAGGAAGCAACCTTTGTCAGACAATTTAAAATAGTGCTAAAACATGTTGATTAACCGACTGTGCTGATAGTTCTTCCTTCACCTGGTACCCCTTTTTGTTATCATTACTGGAAAATAAATACACTTTTCTTTATTTGTATTTACCTTTTCAATGTAAACTAAGCACTCATATACTAACAAAGGACTGGCTTATCTAAAGCCTGTTGAGTATCACTTAAAGGGGACCTATCATGCAAAATGCACCTCTTGTACGTCTTTTATACATGAATATGTGTCCCCGGTGTGTCAGGGAACTCACCAAGAGTCAGAAAACACAACCCTCTCTCTTTTCCTCCATACCCAAATCTCTTAAAAAGGGGCTGCAACGGATCTGATACATACTGATCCAGATTTGAACACTTTTCTGACGTCAGGACGGTGGCGCTACGGCTATTGGGCCAACTCCACCAATCAGGAGGAGAGAGCCACGGACATTGCCGTTCGAAAGCGCAGGAGACGCTGTAGTACATATGTCAGGCCACCAGATGGTGCTGTTCTCAGTGAATCCGAGCATGAAAGGCAGTGTTAAATTGAGCAAAATGAGGAATGGATAAAATGCATGATCTGTTTGGTATTTTGAAAAATAAAACGTATAAATATACCTTTTTATATAGGTATGGCCCTACAATATATTATTCAAATATAGCATGATAGGTCCACTTTAAAGTAGTTTGGCTCTATGAAACCTAATGTACTTATATGATTCTGTTTTCTTCAAGTTTGTATTCTCTGTTCTTGGTCGAATGCACTTATTGTAAGTCGCTTTGGATAAAAGCGTCAGCTAAATGCAATGTAATGTAATCTGCAGCTTAGACAGACAAAGCAGTTTGGGGACATCACGTGGACTCTGGCAACTTAAGAGGCTGGTTAATAAAAAATAAAACCATCAATACATAGTCAAAGTGGATTGGTTGATCGCAGCTCTAGTTCATACTTTAAGCAACACATGTGGTTATGGTCAACAGACTGTATTTTAGATTCTAGTGTCACTAATGATATTTGCGTGTTAAATAAACAAACTAAACACTTACATAAGCACTTGCATCAACCCAACAATAGATTTGTTTGGATTGGCCAGTGACAGTGGTGGGATGTTGACCGTCCACATGCTGGCTAAGTTTCCTTGCATACTCGTGTACAGATTATAAATGTACATTTGGAGACTTGGTCATAGTGTTGCTCACATTGTGGATTCCTGGTTAGTTTAGGTTTGCATTAGAACAATAGCTTATACAGTGTTTTATGTCCAATAGAAATATTTAACCAATTGTAGTAATTGTTGGCTAAGACTGCAATGCATTAAAAAGACAAATATTGATATTTAAATGTTTATTTCAGTCCCGGACGCCCGCCTTGGTATTTGAGCATGTTAACAACACAGACTTCAAGGTAAGAGCTAAACCTTCCCTTTATGCTCTAAAATGTGGACACCTCCTTTCTTGGCATGCTCGTAGTTTTTCTGTACCCGTGTGTGTTTGTGATGGAGGAATATGAAAGTCCAGTTCTATGTCTTCGGTGCCAGGAAGTCCACCATCTTCTGGTTCTATCCTCAATAACTGGTACACTTCCACAGCTGCCTGTGAGTCATGTATGACTAGGGATGGGTATCGTTTAGGTTTTAACGGTACTACTACTTTTATCGATACAGCTTATTGGTCCGGTCTTTTAACGGTACTCTTATCGGTTCTTTTGGAGAGAAAAAAATAGGTAGGTTAACTGACAAATTGTGAACAAAATTAACATTGCTTTTTATTTAAATTTAAATACATAATATTTCACCTCAAAAGAAACAACAATGTTTTAACAAATCGTATTAAATAATCTGATGACAGAACTGTGAACAGAATAGCTGAAACTTTAACAAAATAAATAACTCTGTTACCTCTAATCATTAACCCATGTTTGAATAATGAGTTAACTGTGTGTTGCTGCTAGCATACACAACATACCTGATGTGGAAACGTTACTCGTGGATGGGGCTACAGAGCTACTAGAAAGACAGTCAAACCCGGTGCATTTCTCCGTCTGAATGTGGTGCACTTTTGCTAAATGTTTAGACAAATTGCTCGTGTTACCGCCCTTACATGCTAAAACTCTTAATGCACTTTAGGTAACGAGCATTGTCCACATCGAGACGGGTAAAGTTTAACCACACCTCGGAGAACTTAGTTCCCTCCGCCATCTCCTCCGTGTGTGTGTGTTGTTGCATGTAGCAGCTGCGTGTGTGTAAACTGCCCCGCCCCCTCGCACACAGACGGGGGAGAGAGAGAGACCTCTCGACTGGATCGGAAAGATCGAAAATAAAAAAAATAATCATAGACGCATTTTGCAATCTTTTTGCATATTAGAAACGGAGTTGGCGTTACTTAAACTGCAATATAATGTTTGTGTAGCAATAATACATACAACATATATTTTTTACATGTATCCAGTACCGATAAAACTGATAACGTCGGAGCTTAACGGTACCACGGTCTTTAATAATTCAGCGCCGGGGCCAGTTTAATATCGGGGCTCGGTACCCATCCCTATGTATGACTGTCTCATGAACGTGTGCTGTGTGTTTAAGACATTACTAATAACATTGTTTTGGTCTCCAGCAACTGTACCAGACTCTGGCAGACTATGACATTCGGTTCTACATGTACGAGATCCTAAAGGTGAGTAATGTTTCAACCATCTTTGTGCTCCTCATCTTTAACCTCTAAATGTCCGGAGGATGTGAAGCATTAAGTCCTTAATCAAGACTATTTGTCATGTTATTCTGGGGGTTTGTACAAGCTTGGGTATTTTGGCAGAAACAATCCATTGTTAAGGCAATCAAGATTGTGGGTTTTGTCTTGTAGGCATCATCTTCTTGGAATCTTTCCAATGAAACCTGTAACCAACGAATAACAGAGTTTGTTTGTCTGTAGGCCCTAGACTACTGCCACAGCATGGGAATCATGCATAGAGACGTGAAGCCACATAACGTGATGATTGATCATGAACACCGCAAGGTAAGTGATGAAGTCAAACAATGTCTCGCTTACCTTAGCAAAAGAGTGATTCAGGAATGAGTCCTAAATCCTAGACTTAACATTTGAACACTTCTGGTTCCCTCGTCTGAAAGTGACCAGTTTTTTTAACATGTTTTTGTTTAGAAGCCTGAAATGAGGTCTTTGGTTAACACAAGCTGAAATTATCACGTTTTTGTTTTAAACCCAAAACCTACCACACAATGTCTAAAGCTGCTATGTGTCATAAAACAGCGGTTGCTAATAAGTGACTTAATGTCGTCACGCTGAACACCTTTAGCTTATAGGTGGCTATGTGAAGTCATGTGATTTTGTGTGTTGATGGCCTAACGTTTTTACTTTTGGTGATTGAATTGCACTTCAAAAATATGTGGAGAATATCATAAACGCTTCTGGCAACAGATCTCATTTTCTGCCTCAATCCAACCCAAAAGTCCCATTGCCTTTAATTGAGGGAGCCCATGTGACGCTAATTTCTGAGTTATCCTACAAAAATATGTAATCTCTGCACTGCTCTAAAAGATGATGATTATTGCTGTCCTGAAGCTTTTTGTCTATTATGTTTTCTTTTTCCCCCCCATTGACTAGTTGCACCCATTATTTAAAGGGGACCTATCATGAAAAATGCACTTTTGTACGTCTTTTATACATGAATGTGTCCCCGGTGTGTCAGCAGGGTGTCCGCGCGGTAGTAAAAGGTAGTAAAAGGTAGTAAAAAGAATCTACCCAAATTAAGGCCCTTGAAAGGTAGTAAAAGGTAACAAACGCAATTTGACTTGGTAGTAATTTTTTTAAAACTCTGCCTCAATATATAATGAGTTTCCATTGTTTGCTTATTATTTGTGTCTGCATGTTTGAATTTCATCTAGCCTACGTAGTTTAAAAATATATACGGTGCTAACAGGACCTGAGTGAGGCGTAGTTGATAGCAATGACGTAGAGGTAACCTGTGTGGACTTCATAGCCTATCAGCGACGCTTACAACATTTTCCGCCTTTTTCCAACAATTGACGTTAGCAGAGCCGCCTTTTGCCACAGTTGCAGTCTACTTTTTCTGATGTTAGCAAATTCGAGCAAATTTAGTGTGAAATGGGGAAGTGCAAGTTTTCGCAATTATGGGTTGATGACCCCTTATATAAAGACTGGCTTAAACCCGTCATAGGAAATGACCGTGAAGCATTTTGCAGTGTCTGCAAAAAACTATAAAATGTTCAACCCTGGAAGGCATTACTGCTATCAGCTCCCACAGTGGATCCGGCTATACAACCCAAGCAGCGCTTTCGGCGTGAGGGGGGGAGAAACAAGCTGCCGATTTCGTTGTTCTTGCGATGCCTAGCAGCAGCACCCACACGATCCGGCGGCAGATCATGCCACTATCAGCAACAGTCGCACACCGGCAGCAAACCAGGTGTTGCCACAGCACACCACGGCTGCGATAGCAAACAGCAGACGGATACCGCCACAAACATCAGCCCTCAGGGCTGAGGTTCTCTTGGTGGCCTGAACATTCAGCAGCTAACCATCATTCAATTCAATTCCGAATGAGGGCATTGGGGATTGTTCGAAACACACTGTTCCAGTGACTCCGACATAGCCAAAGTTTTGTTTGTGGCAAAGATAAGACATCGATATCCTCTTGGATTTGGCATTGCTCCACATTTTAAGAAGCTTCTTATAATAGCGAATCAATGCTTCTGGGCAGTATGTTGCATGTTTGACGAGTCTCTGGAACCAAG